TCGTACATACAGGCACAAGTGCAGGTGGGAACCAAGGTGCCATCTTAACAACATGTAACATATAACGTTATATGTTAAGTTTCTGATAGTCCCTCAGTGCAGGGAATTATTTGTTTGGAATCAGCAGCTTAGGCCTTTGGAGGGCCTCCTAACTTTCCCTTTCCTTTGGACCAGACCATGCTGTGTCGAATGAGAGAGCGAGAAAGATGACCAGACGTGCAGAGCAGCACCGGGCCTACAGGCCTGACCAGCTGTGTGCTGAGGGGATGTGGAAAGCAACAAAACACAGAGCGAGGTCTTCCCAGGACCTTTGTGTGTGATACCATTTGAGTGGTGCTCCCTGGAAATACACATATTTGGGACCTCAGCCTTGCCCTTAGAAGGCAGAGCCTGCCTAAGTCCAGCGCAGGGTGTACAGGCAGGGCCAAGGGTGGGATACTACCCTTTTAGCACAGTAACCTCATCCACTAGTAATTAGGCAGTGTCTTGGACTCTGAGTAATCAGAGGGACCTTCAGTGCCCCCTCCCCAACATGAGTGGGTAGGTTAAGTTACTAGTTTGCTCCTACAGGTATATAAGAAATGGTGAATAAACCTATTGTGTAGAGTTAAGTTTTAAATTAGCATCAGTTTTCAAGGGTGTCAGGTTGATTGTTGTAGAGATTGCCTTTAACACTTGATACAAAATCTCAGCATTTTTCAGACCTCAACCCAGAACAGTAGATACCTGAAATTAAGATTCATATTGGTAAGAAAGAAAACCTGTATATTTCCCTGTCCCCATCCCCAAAGGCCAGTGGGTCATTTTCCCCATGCCTAACTCCATTCATAGCTAATATGTGGATTGAGGACTTTATTCCAAAACACTTAGGTTCTATATTCTTCCTTAGCCCTTTGAAGATCATTGTGACTTTTCAGACTATTGTAGTGATGGCTCAACCTGACCGCTTCTCCTCCTTTCAGGATTTGGCAGAGAGAACGGCCGTGTGACAATTGAATATTATTCACAACTGAAGACTGTGTGTGTGGAGATGGGTGATGTGGAATCTGCTTTTTGAAAACCTGCAGTGAAACCTACTGACATGGCCAGGCTGTGGAACGATGCGAATTGGCCCTGTTTACAGAGGCAGTACAACTGAATGTTATTTTTAAATTCAGAATTTTGGCATTCAGGATAAGAGAATGGTTCATGTTACTCTTTCTCTGTCCATCAGCTTCGTCACTGAAAATGTGCATTAAGTGCCTTGTAGATAGTAATCAAGAAAGTTGGCATTCTCCTCAAAGTATATTTTTGTGAAATCTTTTAAGAGCCAGTAACATACTTCTAGAGAGCAGGAAACGGGACTGGGATAATACATCTTCCACACATTTGGCCCACTGACAATGTTAATTCTCTGGCGTATTTCAAAGAACTTGTTCCTGGCTGATCCAAGTGCAGTGGTATTTACAACTAATTGATCACAACCAGTTTCTAGATTTCTTTGTTCCTTCTCCATTCCCACTGCTTCACTTGACTAGTCTTGAAAAAAAACAACAACAACAACAAAAAAACCACCTTGTTCCTTTGTAGGTTCCTGGTAGAATCAATAGAGATGATTTCAGCTCATTGACTTTCTTTTAAGCTATATCCCCTTGTCATTTCATTGAGACAGCTGATAACCGGGATAGGGAGGGGATTAGATAATAGACGGGGTCAAATTCTGTGTGAATGTTAACTTGCCTAGTAAGCACTTTGTCTCTGTTCACTACTGCAATAGAGGAAACCTATCTCCCTATCTTGGGTCCTTGAACTACAGCCTGCTGTCTTACACCAGCAGAGCTACCCTTTAAATGTACAAATTATTTGTACGCTAATGTAATATGGTGAAATTAAAATAAATCACACTGCTAATTCTTTTTGCTTTCGTGTTTTAAAACTAAACATATCTTGAGGTTATAGGAGGACAGAGGATAGGGCTGATGTTAAAAGCACAGGGGCAGGGGGATTTGATCTTTGCAGTAAGAACAAAAGGACGGGTTTGGTTGCAGTGATGAACTTTTTATGGTCCAGGTAAACATTCAGGCTCCATGTGCATTCTCACCTGGATAAGCAGTGCCTGTCCCTGAAGAGTTGTCAGATCACTGTGGCTTTTCAGACTATTGCAGTCATGCCTCACTCTGCCCCCTTCTCTTCCTTTCAGGAGAAGAGTTTATAAATCATAGCTAATTTAGTAGTCAGAGATAAGGGATGCTTGTTGTCACTGGGCCTGGATCTAGTTATGTATTATGATGAGCAAGTACTGTAGTTTTAGAGCATAAGAACAACCAAATCAGCCTTTCTTGGTGTTTCTTTGCACAGAGGATACATATGTGATACTGGACAAAGCCAATAGCGTTATCTTACCCTGTGTCTGAGGGGATCCTGTGCACCTTAAGCAGTAGGAGCTGCCTGGAAGAAGATAAGTTTCTGATAGTCCCTCTAAAGCAAGCTTGTCCAGTCTGCAGCCCACGGTCCATATGCAGCCCGGGACAGCTTTGAATGCAGCCAAACACAAATTTGTAAACTTTCTTAAAACATGAGATTTTTTTTTTTTTTACGATTTTTTTTTTTTTCTTTTAGCTCATCGACTATCGTTAGTGTATTTTATGTGTGGCCCAAGACAGTTCTTCCAGTGTGGCCCAGGGAAGCCAAATGATTAGACACCTCTGCAAGAGAAAACAGCAGGGGAAAGGGAAGCAATATTTAAGTACTCACTGTGTTCCTACTGCTACACTCCTTCTCATTTATTACTCACACTAAGCCTAAGAAAGGGATTATCCCTGATTTTCAAATGAAGAAACAGATTTGGAGACATCTTGGTCCCAGGCAAGTGTGATATTTTATGCCTCTATATAAAATTATGTATCTTTTCATCCATGGTTCCTGGCTCATAACTCCCTTGGTATGGTTTTTTGTTATAATGTTGGGGCACTTCAGGCCTCAGAAAACAGAATGTCCCTCTCTGACCTTCTGTCCTCCTTTTCACCTGCCCAAGGCAGGGCTCCAATCTTCCACCACTTTTCTGATTACGGGTCCTAACACTCCCATTTCAGAAGGGGTCCTGCCTGCTGTCCTGCAGGAAAAAATGCCACACAGAGAAGCCAGGAATCTGAAGACAGGCCTTGCTGGGTTTCCCCACTCAGCCTCCTTTGTATTAGATCATACCCCTTTATCCAGTCACATTTCTACATGGTGTCCGTGTTTCAGTCATGCCTCTCTAATGAAGTCTAGGAGGCCCAAGAGGACAGGCTTCAGGGAGCTTCTGGAGAGCTGAACATGTGGGGGCTTACAGGAAGGTGAATAAGAACACGTGCAGGTGCCAGGAAGGTGGTGCACCCCAACTCCACGGGAACAGAGGCTCCTGTGCTTGGGAGCCTTCCAGACCTGGCTGTATGTATCCCTTCATTTAGTTGTTTATTTGTGTCCTTTAAAATACTTTTTTTTTCCCCCAGAAACAGGGTCTCACTCCATCACCCGGGGTCTCGCTCTGTCACGTCACCGAATGAAAGTACAGTGGTGTGATCATAGCTCACTGCAGCCTTGACCTTCCTGGGTTCAAGTGAACCTCCCACCTCTCAGCCTCCCCAGTAGCTGGGACTACAGGTGTGCGCCACCAGGCCTAGCTAATTTTTCTATTTTCTGTAGAGAAAGGGTTTCACCATGTTGCCCAGGCTGGTCTTGAACACCTGGGCTCAAGTGATTGTCCAACCTCGGCCTCCCAAAGCGCTGGGATTATGGGCATGAGCCACTGCACCTGGCCTAGGATATTCTTTGTAATAAACTAGTAAATGCATTTCTGAGTTCTGTGAGCCACTGTAGCAAATTAATCGAACCTCAACTTGAAGCCAGTCAGTCGAGTTCCAGAAGCTTGGACTTGCAGCTGGTTGGAGTCAGGGGCAGTCTTGGACTGAGCCCTCAACCTGTGGGATCTGATGCTATCTCCAGGTAGATAGTGAGAATTGAATTGGAGGATGCCCAGCTGGTGTCCACTGCAGAACTGATTTGCCTGCTTGGTGTGTGAACAGAAAACTCCAACATTTGGTCACAGAAGTCTTCTGTGTTGATTGTTGTATGAGAGCAGAGGAAAAACCATTTGTCTTCCACATCAGCAAGTCTGGAAGTTGGCAACTTCAAGCCAGGTGTGAGTCTCCAATTCCTGTGCTTTCTGCTACCCTCTCTGTTTCCTAGAACTGAACCCAGTATATGTTTCCTATGCTTGCTATAACAAATTACCGCCAACTTAGCAGCTTAAAACAACACAAATTTATTATCTTGCAGTTCTGGAAGTCAGAAATCCCAAAATGGTTTCACGTGGCCAAAACCAAGAAGTTGTCAGGGCCACACTCCTTGAAGAGGCCGTAGGAGAGAATCCTTTTCCAGCTTCTAGAGCGGCACTCCTTGTATTCCTTGGCTCGTATCCCCCTCCTCTTAGATGCCAGCAGCTTAGCATCTTCAGAACCTCTCCCTGCCCTTGCTGCCTTCTTCCCTGTGTAGTCAAACTTCCCTTTGCCTCCCTCTTAGAAGAACACTTAAAGGACATTTAGGGCCCACGCCTATAATCGCAACAGTTTGGGAGGCCAAGGTGGGAGAATTGTTTGAGGCTAGGAGTTTGAGACCAGCCTGGGCAACATAGTAAGACCCCATCTCTACAAATAAATTTTTAAAAAAGGAGTGTGGCAGCCCAAATGTGTAGTCACAGCTACGTGGGAGGCTGAGGCAGGAGGAACACTTGAGCCCAGGAGTTTGAGTTGCAGTGAGCTAGGATCATGCCTGACTACACTCAGCTTGGGCAACAGGGTGAGACCCTGTCTCCAAAAACAGAAATGAAGACTCTCATTTCCCTCTTCAGACCTATGAATTGGAATCTGCATTTTAACAAGATCCTTGGGTGACTCATAAGCACGAGTCTGCCAAGTACTGCTTTTAGAGCAATGGTTCTCCACTTTCACTGCACATTAGAATTGTCCAGTGAGAGCTCTGAAAATACCAAGAATCTCATTTAATTGATCTGGGCATCTGGATTTTTTTTTTTTTTTTTTTTTTTTATACTATATTAGTACCAGAATGATTTCATTCTCTGTAATGTTACATTTCAACTATTTACAAAAATATAGATGGAGTTTCACTCCTTTCGCTCTTGTTGCAACAGCACGATCGCGGCTCACTGCAACCTCCGCCTCCTGGATTCAAGCCTGGATTCAAGCAATTTTCCTGTCTCAGCCTCCCGATAGCTGGGATTACAGGCATGCGCCACCACACCTGGCTAATTTTGTATTTTTAGTAGAGACGGGGTTTTTCTAAGTTGGTCAGGCTGGTCTCAAACTCCCAACCTCAGGTGATCCACCTGCTTCGGCCTCCCAAAGTGCTGAGATTACAGGCATGAGCCACCACGCCTGGCCTGGATTCTTAAAAGGCACCCAGATGAGCTTAACAGGTAGCCAAGGTTGAAAAGTGCTGCTTTAAGAGCTGTACTATCCGAGTATAGTAGCCGTAGCCATATGCATCTGCTTAAATCTAAAAATTCAACTCATCAGTTGCTGTAACCACACTGAGCTCAGCCACACATGGGTAGGGATTACACTTTATTGGACAGTGCCGACAGAATATTTCCATCATGTCAGAAGGTTCTGTTGGATAGTGCTGTTTAAGAGGAAAGGAACTGAGAGACTACTCAGTTTTTTATTAAGTTAGGAGAGCATCTTTGGAGGCGAGTGTTACTAGGGATGAAACAGAAAACTGGGCAAACTCTGTGGGTCCTTAGAACATAAAGAAGATAACCTGGTTGCTGACTTTTGCTGAACGAGCTACACCAGCAGGTGGCTCTCGTGCTTCCTACCACAATTTGCGTGGCTACAAGACCCCTGGTAGGCACTGTGCATGCATTACCGTTTGATCCTCACGAACTTTATATGGTAAGTATTTTCATTATCTCCAACTTACAGCTGTGTAAGCTGAGGCTTAGGCTAATAAGCTTGCCCAAGGGCACACAGGCACCTGAAGGTGGGAATACTTAAGGTTCACTATGGCTCAATTAGGCATTTATAGGCTGGCATGGCTGTCTGATTTTCATCTAGCAAAACTCAGCATGTGTTTCCCTTATACACATAAATGGACTGTTTGGAATGTACACTGCCAATAGATTAGTAGTTAATGGTAGAAATACTTATGCCAAGTTTTTCCCCACAAGACAAGGGACTAGCTTGTAAGAGTTATTCTCTAAGCAGTCTTTACCAACTGGATTCTGCCAAGCCCTAGGGTTCCCTGGAAGTGCAGTGAGTGGGGAAGTAGGGCACTGAAAGGCAGAGCTCTCAGTTCTGCACTTTAACCACAGCGCCCTTTATGTACTGAGCTTCCTTACAAAACTCCGTCTGAGTCCAGTGTGCAACAGCAAAATGACAAACTGGGATCACATTACAGACGCTCGACTTATGATGGGGCTACATCCTGAGAAACCCAACACACATTGCAAATATTGTAAGTTGAAATTGCATTTAATACACCTAACCTACCGAACATCGTAGCTTAGCCTAGTGACCTTAAACATGCTCTGAACTCTTACATTAGCCAACAGTTGAGCAAAATCATCTGACACAAAGCTTCTTTTATAATGAAGTGTTGAATATCTCATATAACTTATTGGATACTGAAAGTCAAAAACAGAATGTATTGGTACTCAAAGTATGATTTCTACTGAATGAGTATTGCTTTTTTTTTTTTTTTTTGAGACAGTCTTGCTCTGTCACTCATGCTGGAGTGCAGTGGTGTGATCTCGGCTCACTGCACATTCTGCCTCCTGGGTTCAAGTGATTCTCCTGTCTCAGCCTCCCAAGTTGCTGAGATTACAGGTGCGCACCATCACACCTGGCTAATTTTTGTATCTTTAGTAGAGATGGGGTTTCATCATTTTGGCCAGGCTGGTCTCTGACCTCAGGTGATCTGCCCGCCTTGGCCTCCCAAAGAGTTGGAATTACAGGCATGAGCCATCATGCCCAGCCTGAGTCTTGCTTTTGCACCATCATATTAAAAAATTGTTAAGTCGAACTGTCAGAAGTTGGGGACCATCTGTAGTTTGAAAATTATACCCTGTTAAGACTTTTAAAGGTGAAAAGCCAGCTTCATCTCCAGATCTTCCCTGCCCTGCTTCACTGATGCCTGCTATTCTTTGTGCAGTGAGAAAGGAAACCTCGGCAAGTTCTCTGAGCTCTCTAAATGTGTTTCTTACGAAGCAAAAACCAAAACCCTGTCTTATTGTAAATTCTCAATTACATCATTTTTTCAAGCCAGGACCAAAAATCCCTACCATTCATCATCACCAGCATTTCATAAAGAACATTTTAATGTAAAAAATACAAGTAAAAGCTTTATGAAAAACAGTCATCATTTTCCTTATTTTACTCTCCACTGGTGAAACTTTCTCATGAACTAACACTGGAGTGTGTGCTGGTCTGGTCCAGCCTCCTCATCAAATGCCCCAAGGGCTCCAGGTGGCCATTTGGCCAAGGCTGACCATCTTCAATGGCTGGCCATGGCATTCCATCCTTAAATGCTTCGTCTTTGGAGCTTAAGCAATAAACTGGTACAATGGAAAATGCATGGATTTTAGAGTCAGGACTGGGTTCAAATACTGTCTCATCCTCACAGGCTATTGAGCATTTGAAAAAGCACTAGTGCAACTGAAGAACTGCTCTTTTATTTACATTTTATCAATTTAAATTTAGATGGCCACATGTGGCCAATCGGGCAGCACAGGTCTAGACACTATATTTCCTTTTAAGGTAGTTTATGGCCACATCAGTGTTTTGGAGTAACTATCTTATACTGCCAACTTGGCAGTGTTCTCTAAACCAGCTGAAATCTTCTAAGTCTTCCTCATTTGTACCTAGGCAGTCAGATCTTTATTTCCAAATGTAGAAAGTTACATTCATCTCTGTTAAGTTTCATCTTAGTCTACTGCTTCAGTTTTTAAGCAACAGAAACAATCTTTAATAGAAACTTAATTTGTATTTATTTGAGATAGGGTCTTGCTCTGTCACCCATGCTGGAGTGCAGCAGTGTGATCATAACTCACTGTAGCCTTGACATCCTGGGCTCAAGTGATCCTCCCACCTTAGCCTCCCAAGTAGCTGGGACTACAGACATGTGCCATCATGCCTGCCTAACTCTTGTATTTTTTTTTTTTTTTTTGTAGAGCTGAAGTTTTGCCATGTTGCCCAGGCTGATCTTGAACTTTTGGGCTCAAGCGTTCCTTTGGCCTCCGCCTCCTTTCAAAGTGCTGGGATTGCAGGAGTGAGCCACTGTCACAGCTGAGATTTTTTTAAAAAGATCTTTACTGTTATCCTAAGTATCTGTAGCAAGTGATAATAGCATATCCTGAGAGCTAAAATATTTTTCTTTAATTTTTCACCACTGTGGCATGACTATACATACATCACTAAAATCAGACTTTTTCTCAACCTCACATACTACAGAAACATGTGCTGGAAGGATGAGGAGAGGGTGCACTGCTTGTGGCTCCTCTCTCATCTAGTAGAACTAGCTACTGATTTCAGATACAGACTCAAATGGAAATGAGTGGTAAGAGTCAGGAGTTTTAGGTATGAGGCTGACGCCAGGTAAGTTTTTATTATATTTAGAAAAAAAAAATGTAACTGGAAATAAAGGTAAGTCATTTAAAATGAATAAGAGTTTTTAAACCCCTAAAATTCTTTAATGGCAGCATTTGGATCCACTGCCCAAGCCACTTTTAACCCAACCAAGATGCTGGAAAGCAGAGCACACGGTTGTGCCCACCAAGCCCAGGAGGGCGATGGACCCCAGGGCTCCTCGACTACGTTTGCTGGGTTCTGAAAAAGAAGAAAGAACAAGTTACAGGAGTGCTCCAGAATTACGACGCTTTCAACATTCGCAAGTCATTCTGTCATGGCATCTGAGGTTGTACATTAGACAAACTGGCCTTAGGAGGTTAACTAACTCTTTTGCCTGAAGCTGTTGGCAAGTCAGATACCACATGCCAAGTAATGTGCCACAGTAGTATTGCCTGGATCTTAGAAAATTATGGGATAATAATTACAGCAACTTTGCTCCAGGACCTTTGGAAGGAGTTGCCTCTGTTTCAAAGAAATACGGCCAAAAATGGCTTTTCCTCCTCCTTACTCAGATATAGGAGGTACAGTAATGATGAGGCTCTGGAGTTGAACTGCATGGATTTGATTCCTAGTTTACTAGTTTATGCTTAGTAGCTCTGTGACCTACAGCTTTAATCATGCTGAGTCCCAGTTTCCTAATTTGTAAAATGCAGTATCTATATTACAGAATTGTTGTAAGGTTAAATAACATATGCAAAGTTCTTATAGTGGTTGGCACATATAAAATGCTCAATAAAAGTAAGTTTTGTTACAATTGAAAAATAAAAAGAAAACAGACCTTTTACCTAAATATCAAGTGACTTCCCCTTTTCTCGAATTCCCAAGAAGAAAAATACAGTAGCATAGATTTTATTTTTTTTTTTTTTTGAGACAGGATCTTGCTCTGTCTCCCAGGCTGGAGTATAGTAGTGTAATCATGGCTCACAGCAGCCTGAAACTTCTGGGCTGAAGCAATCATTCCACCTCAGTCTCCCAAATAGCTGGAACTACAGGTGTGTACCACCAGATCCAGCTAATTTTTGTATTTTTTGTAGAGACAGGGTTTCACCACATTGCAGAGGCTGGTATCCAACTCCTGAGCTCAAACAATCTGCCTGCCTTGGCCTCCCAAAGTGCTGGGATTACAGGTGTAAGCCACTGTGCCTGGCCAGCATAGGATTTAAAATTTAGAATTTGTTTCCTTGGCAAATGTCAATATATACTAACCTCCTGTGTAATAGCCATAAGCATAAAGAACTCGTCCAACAATCCAGGCCAAGCCCAGGCCGGAAGCTATACGCTAAGAAAAAAGGGCTACATTAGTATTTGCATGAAACAAACAAGCAAACCTTTATTAACATCTAGGGTTGATTACACAATACGTTAGCAAAAAGTTAGTAATTTCATGGTTTGGCTAACCACTCCCCACCCAAACTAGGTAGAATTAACTTAGTTTCAGTCAGGAAAATAAAATATCTGTGATTCTTCTATGACTGGCTTGGCTTGTGGACCTCAGAGATGAGTACTGGCCTTCTCCTAGACAGGTGGGATGGAAGGAATCCCCCCACTTGCCCTGGGCATCTTGGGGAACTTGTGCTAGAGCAAGAGAAGGACATGTGGGCCAGGCGGTCTCAGGGCAAGCCAGAAAAGGGAACTGCCCCAAAGTCAGGACTAGGGGAAATGCCGTTTTCTCAAATGGGCCTCTGAGCATGAGACTGACTGAAGACTCAGCTGCTGTTCTATGTAAAGTCAGTCACTGGCAGGGATGGGTGCAGGTGGTTCTGCAGGCTACACTAGGGGTGTAGCTCCACTAGAAAGAGGGGGAGAGCTTCTTGTATTGTGAACCCCAGAACACATGGTCTTCGAGAGAAAAGTCTTCCTGTTTCCAATGCCCTTGAGCAGAGAGAATAAAAACTTAGATGAAAAATCCATGAGCAGAGGGAATAAAAACTTAGATGAAAAATCCATCCCTTTGGCTGCCATGCTGGGGTGACTTCTTTGGTTAAGAAAAGCAAGGAGAGAACACAGAAGAGAGCGTGTGAGAAGGCCGCCTTCCCCAGTGTCTTTCCCACTCAGCAGTGCTACTGGTAGGGAAAAGGTTACTGCATCCGGGTCTTTGTTTGTTTGAGTTGACTTTGGGTAACGTTAAATTTTATCAGCAGGAGGGTGAAACAAATGAAAACAAACGCCAGTCCCTCAAGTCACGATGTAGCAGCTCTAGCCTCTGCCGGGCCCTTCTTTACTGTAATGTTGCCTAATGACTGGCAACCTAGGAACAATTGTTAGGTGCTTGTCCCCAGACTAGCTGTTATTTTTCAGAACGACCCACAAGGAATGGGGTCCAGGGATGTGAGCTAGGAATGGGGATGGAGTGGGGATACCAAATGAGGCCTAATCTAGAGACCTGGGCTATTCAGATCAGCTTGTCTAGTCACTTGCTAGGAATGGGGGTCTTGAGAGGCACCAGAAAGATACCCTTTCCTAAGAGACACAAGAGCAGTAGATGTTTCTTTGAAAAAAAATGCAGGCCTTCAAGGTCATGAGCAGTAGATGTGGCACTCTGGCAGCTTTTTAACAAAAGTACCAGGCATTCAGGTGTGGACCAGATGGTTAGGAAAGGCTTAGCACCAGAAGTCTGAAGGGCCACCACTCTGGTCAGGACTCAATTTCAGGAGATAATCTGGCCTCGGAAAAGGGAACACTTCTGTCCAAGACAAGACCCAAATGACAATTAATTAGAGGCAGATAAACGTGCTTTATTTAGATATGTTTAAGTGCAGACTACATCTCCAGCCCACAGGGCTATCTATACTGCAGAGGCCTGCAAGGCCCTGGTGATCTGCCTCCTCACCCCTCTGCCCTCTGTTGCTGACCCTCTCCTGGCTCCACTGGCTTCTCACTGCTCACCAAACAAACCAGACAGGTGCCTGCCTCGGGCCTTGCTTGTCTTCTGGCTGGAGGTTGGGAGACACGTGCAGCACCTGCTCCCTCACCTCCTTTTACACTTGCTTAACTATCATCTCAGCAAAGCCCCCCTCCCTGACCACCCTATTCAAAATTATCCCACTCCACACCCCCTTTCCACCTTTGCTGCTTTGTTTTCTTCTCTGCACTCACCACCTCCTAACACATGATGTCATTTACTTAGGTTTTGCTTTTTGTCTGCGACCACCCCATCCCCTACAACAAAAAGGCAAGCTCTACGAAACCAGGGGTCTTTGTCTACTTTGATCACTGCTTTACCCCAGGTGGTGAGTGACAGTTTGCTGTGTGAATGAATTAATACAACAAATGAACTCTTATAGACATGAAACTTAGAACCAGACAGACCTGGGTTCAAATTCTAATCCTTCTACTCTGTAGCTATTTGACCTCGTGAAGTTTAAATAGTATCTGAGAGGCTTTACCTTATCTGTAAAATATGAGGAAAATCCCACCTACTTTAAAGAACTCTGTAAGAAATAATTGAATAAAATCCTTTTAAATATACGGTGCCTAGACACTGAAGATATTCATTGCATGTTTATTTCCTCCTTCTGTCCCCGATAATAGCTCAGTGAACTACATCCAAACAGATGAACACCTCCTGGAAAACTTACCGGGTGGTAAACACCTCCAACAGCTAGAAAAAATAAGAAGGGAGGATACACTTCCAACCTGGAATTGACAGAAAGAAACTTTTAAAAAGTGCCCTTTTTAAGTATGCCTGTGTAGAATTATGAATCTTTTTTTTTTTTTTTTTTTTAAGAAAAGACGGAGTCTCTCTGTCGCCCAGGCTGGAGTGCAGTGGCGCAATCTTGGCTCACTGCAACCTCCGCCTCCCGGGTTCAAGTGATTCTCGTGCCTCAGCTTCCTGAGTAGCCGGGATTACAAGTGCCTGCCACCACGCCTGGCTAAGTTTTGTAGAGATGGGGTTTTCCCATGCTGGCCAAGCTGGTCTCCAACTCCTGACCTCAAGTGATCCACCCACCTCAGCCTCCCAAAGTGCTGGGATTACAGATGTGAGCCCACCTCACCCGGCCAGCACTATGAATCTTTACATCTTCCTTGCCAAGTTAGACACTTGGGGGCAAAAATAAACATTGACTGCAGGGCGAAGACCTGGTCACTAACATCCACCCTCCTTTGCTCCGCATGGGATTAGAGGTCACTTGGAACATGCTGAGTAAAAGGACCTCACATCTAACCAATGGAAGTGGAAGGTCCTGGTGAGTCACAGTGGGTTTCCTTACAGCATTCAAAACCTCTTTACTCCCTAGGCCTGGGAGAGTCAACATCAGTTTAGATGGGTCATGCTGCAAAACTGTAGCAGGTAATGCAACCATGAAGACACTTTTTGAAAAGAATATCCAGAAATCCCACCATTCCAACCACTCTTCAGTTTGCTTAATAGTCAATGTGTTCACATACATAATTTTTGAAGACTTTTAATGAGGTGCCCATGATTATCACCGTCACTATGACTCAGCAGATACAGCGCACTAAGGGCTGAGGTGTTAGACGGAAAACACCCACTCTGCAGATGTCTTTGGTGCCCGGCAGGGCCGACACTCACGTGTTCTGGTGGGCTCGCTGAATGCAGTTGAAGAGGTGCCCATTTTCAGGGTCCGTGCTGTACATGGTAGGATACTGTCACAACAAAGCACATACTGATTAGATGGTCAAGAGTAGCATTCAGTGTTGAAAGTTAAAATCAACCTTAAAAATAATATATTCCAAAGTATCTTCTTTCACACCCTTGATAGATGACCATTCGATTTCTGCTTATTTACAGTGACAAGGGTCTCAATTCTCAGACACAGATTCAATGTTTCTATTAAATATCCAGGAATAAGAATGTATGTCTGCGCTGTAGCCGCACAAGGGAAAGAGGCAGCTTTGTGCCGAACTCTGCTTTTCATTGACGTTAAGCATCAACGGTGGATTTCAGATGCATTACAAAGATACCGTAGGGAAATAAAGCCTTCCTAAGAGTCATCAAATACCACATCCTTTTAAGATTTCCCTTAATAGAAGAACAGAAATTGAGTGTGTGAGAATCTTAATGGAAGTGTCCATTGGAAGGAAAAAAAAAAAAAGAAACTAAATATAAAAACTTAAAAAAAGCTCTAGTAAGGGAGTTTAATTATTAAGTTGCTAAACAGAAACAGACATTTAAAATTGCTCACCAGGGACAACCTTAGTAATTATCCCTTGTACATCACCTAAAACTAAAGGAAGTATTTAATAGACCACCTTCCTATGTCTAAGTCCAGGCTAATCTCAACACCACATACCTCTTTTCTACTTGGAAAACAGGAAAATCATCTTACAACATCATTTTTAAAGTGGCACACCATGAAACAATGTTGCTATTTAACCCACTGTAGAAAATACAGTGGCTCTTCCTAGCAAATAGCTCCAGCCAAAAGTGTACTATTGGAATCCCAGCATACCTGGTCTTTCTACAGAAGAGACAAAGTCAAACAAGATGGAAACTACTCCCTAGCAGGGCCCCATATTTCTTGCCTCTTTCCCACCACGAAGAAGCAGAATCGCTAATAGACCCAGTCCTGAAACTGCCACTTTTCACAACTAACTCCTTGCCTCTCCCTCCATGGCTGAAAACAAGTTCTTGGCTAAGCCTGTGGCCCCCAGACAAACCTACAAGGGTACCAGCTTGTGTTCCCACTTACCTCCACTTTGTACTTCTTGCGGGCCTTGGAAACATTGATGGCTAGGTGGGCCACCATTATAAAGCTGGCAGCACCAGTTAGAAGCACAAAACCATATTCCTTAGAGAGGACAGCCATCTTGCGTCTGTGGAAGAAAGAACATGTTGGGACAGCCCCCAGCACTGTGGCTATTTCATGGTGTGAAGCCTTAGGGAGCAGGATGCTTTATTAATGGGAAATGCATAAATAGAGACCAAAAAAAGGTGTGAGTCAATCTGATGTTTCTAAGAAGTCATCAGAGACAG